GAGAGAGAGAGAGAGGGGGGGGGGGATCGCGAGAAAACGCTGATGAAACAGAAAGTAGAGGAAGAGGGAAAGAGGAGACGCAGCGCCGGAAGAAGGACAGAGGCGAAGCGCAGGAGCGAGAGCCAGGGAGAGGAAAGGGAGAAGGGGCGAGGAGGAGGAGGAAGAGGAAATGGCGAAGCGAATCCGCAAGAGAAGACAAGGCGACGGAGCCGCTGCGAGGCCCGCGAGCCCGAGGGCGGCGTCCCCGCTCTCCTCCCGGGCGAGAGCGGCTGCCTGGCGCCCCTCCGGCAGGCGTCCCGTCGGGCGAGGCCGGCGAGGCTAGGCGTGCTTCTTCCTCATGTGCATGACCATGCTGGCCTCCGTGGGCGCGCGGTGCGGGCACACGCGGCACTCCAGGCACAGGTCGGAGTGCACGGCGACGATGTGGCGGTCGAGGTCGCCGGACTGCGAGGCGCGGTGGCGGCAGTGCGGGCACGGGTACGGCTTCTCGCCCGTGTGCGTGCGCATGTGGCGCGTCACGTCCGAGCGCTGGATGGCGCGGTAGCCGCACATGCCGCAGGCGTACGGCTTGTCGGCCGTGTGGGACAGCAGGTGCCGCCGCAGGGTGGACCGGTGGGTGTAACCGCGGCCGCAGTGTGGGCACAGCAAGGCCTGCGGGGGAATGCCCGCGGGGAAGCCGTCCAGGCCGCCACCGACGCCGCCATGCCCTGCCGCCGCCGCCGCCGCCGCCGCCGCTGCGTCGCCGTACAAGCCGTCGCCCGGCGCCCGGGTCTCGAGCTCGGCCTCGTCATACTGCAACATAAAACACCGCCGTCAGTCCCTCCCTCCAGCCGACGCCGCCCCTCGCCACCCGCCTCTGGGCCCCTGAGCCCGCATGCGGCCCTCCTACTGCAAGGCTCGCTCCTGCACTCACCACAGGGCTGGCCCGAGTCTTGGCACAACCTGCTTTTGCACCGTGTCCGCTGCAAAGGCCTTTTGCGAGGCTCTGCTGCCTCGCCGACAGCTTTCCTTTCCTGAAACAGCTTTCCTCCGCTCGAGTCCTCTGCGCGAGCGGAAGCCCTCGGCTGTCTGGCGGGCTTCCTCAGCCCTTCGCCCGAACCTGCGCGGCTGCCCGTTTTGACGTCGCTGCGCGCTCGGACGCTGGCACCGTCAAGGCCTGGGTCGTGACGTCACTATCCAAAACAAAGCAACAAAAGAAAAAACAAACCGGACGGATGAAGCCACTCGCTCAGCCCGTCCACTTCGATGAGCCTTTCGACCTCGGCCTCCACGGCTCGCGCACAGACCCCGCCCCGTGCGCAGACCCCCGAGGAGCGGCCTCCATGCCTGACGCCCCGCCAATAAAACGGCGAAGGGAAGAACAAGCAGACCTGCACGGCCGCCCACGAGCCTCTCCAGCCCGGGCCAGCCACGCGGCCCCGTTCCCTCCCCCTCCCCCTCCCTCGGCGCTTTCGTTCGGACGCGGACGCCTTTGGGAACGGCTCTGATATCGAATATAATAATATAATTGCATTCATGTATATCTAAAAATTATGTAAAAAGTAAATAAATAACTATACATGTGTGTGTGTGTGTGTGTGTGTGTGTGTGTGTTGTGTGTGTGTGTGTGTGTGCGTGTGCGTGTGCGTGTTGTGGTGTGGTGTGTGTGTGTGTGTGTGTGCGTGTGCGTGTGCGTGTGCGTGTGCGTGTGTGCGTGTGGCGTGTGCGTGTGCGTGTGTGCCACATAAAGGACTCCAATCATTTTCTTTTTCACTAGAAACGAACCGCCAAACATCACAGGATGAAAAGAAATACGTTATTCATCTGCAAAATATATTTCATATTAATTTCTTTGTTATACACAGTAACCAAATAAGCATAATAATAATAACTACCATTACAAAATAATAATAAAATAATAATAATAATAATAATAATAATAATAATAATAATAATAATAATATAATATAATAATAATAATAATAAAGTGATAATGATGATGATGTTCATGACGATGACAATGATAGAAGTAAATAAATAATAATAAAAAAAATCAAATGTAATCATAATTATAATCATACAGATAAGGCCAAAAAAAAAAAAAAAATCTTTGGTTTCGGCGCATTCCCTCCGGCCGGGGGGGGGGGGGGGGGGGGGGGGGGGAGCGGTAAGTAGGGACATATCTCTATATATTATCCTTTTTTTTCGATTTTGAGAAGTGACCTCGCGAGCTTGTTCAGGGACACCGCCTCGACTCACCTACAACCTCTGACTCTGCCCGGCGCTAAATGTTCCTGGAATATGAGATTGAATTCGGATAAATTCGGTTTGAGATTGAATTCCGCTTAATAGATTAAATTCGGTTTAATATGAGATGGAATTCGCGAGATTAAATTTGGTTTAATATGATTGAATTCGGTTTAATATATAAATTTCGTTTAGAGATTGAATTCGTTTAATATGAATTGAATTCGGTTTAATAATGAGATGGAATTCGGTTTAATATGAGATGAAATTCGGT